AAGTTGCAAACATACAACACATTTCAGTAGACTGTAACAGCAGATATCTTGGTTGTTGAAGAGAGAGAGAAGAGAGAGAGAAAGAACCAACAAGTTTTCAGATATGCACAACTGGTAACCTTAGTGTACAGTGCCATCTACTGGTCAAGTGATATTAACACACAATACTATATAGTACATGCTGTTGTATCCCCAACAGTTACAATACACCTATCATTCGATTTTTAGACTGATCATTACTTTGTGAGTGGGCAAACATTCAAATCAGCAGGGGATCAAATACTTATTTCCTTCACTGTGTATATATATATATATATATATATATATGTGTGTGTGTACAGTTGTGCTCAAAAGTTTACATACCCTAGCAGAAATTGTGAAATTTTGGCATGGATTTTGAAAATATGACTGATCATGCCAAAAAATGCTCTTTTATTGAATGATCATATGAAGCCATTTATTATCAAATAGTTGTTTGGCTCCTTTTTAAATCATAATGATAACATAAATCACCCAAATGGCCATGATCAAAAGTTTACATACCCTGGCATGTTTGGCCTTGGTACAGACACACAAGGTGACACACACGGGTTAAAATGCCATTTAGAGGTTAATGTCCCACATCTGTGACTTTTTAAATTGCAATTAGTGTCAGTGTATAAATAGTCAATGAGTTTGTTAGCTCTTAGGTAGCAAGTAAGCCCAGAGCGGAATGACACTAAGGGGTGTTCCTGCTTGTTCCTCTTGCTGGTGACCAGATTGAAGGTGGGATCTCTCCAGAAGCCAGTGATACACCAAATGAACAATCAAGAGTAGAGTAGCCAAATCTCCATCTCCAGCCCACAGTGAACCAAGGAAAGGGATTCCTCCTAGAGGACAAGCTCATAGACCGAGCCCGGAGACAGTATCATATAGTGTAGTATGTTTTATTAAAAAGATAGCAATCACATGGAGCATAAAATCAACTGTTAAAAAGCACTTACAAATATGGCCACCAGACCATCACATGGACGCTGTGGCGTGACGTCAGCATGTAGGCTCTTTCTGACGTGTTTCGTGCCCACGTACATTCTCAAAGTAATCCACCTAGATCCCTACAGTTGCTGTTGTTCCCAGTTGTTTTCACTATGTTATAATACTACTAACAGTTGACCGTGGAATAATTAGAAGGAAGGAAATATCACAGATGGACTTATTGCACAGGCGGCAACCTATCATGGTACCATGCTTGAATTCACTGAGCTCCTGACCCATTCTTTCACAACTGTTTGTAGAAGCAGTCTGCATGCCTAAATGCTTGATTTTTTTACACCTGTGGCCATGGAGGTGATTGGAACACCTAATCCCATGATTTGGAGGGGGGTCCCAATACTTTTGGCAGTATAGTGTATGTACTACGTGGGGGATCAAAGTAATTTTTTTTAGCAAAAATTACTGACTTTTACATAAACAAAAAGTGTTAAAAGTGGTTAGAAGAGTGGGCGATCTGTGGCTGAAGCTTCTAATGTTAGGCCAAGGAAAGGTCAAACACCCCCAAATGACCCCTTTTTGGAAAGTAGACACCCTAAGGAAGCATGTTAAGTGCGTGTGAACGATTTTTTTTTGCGACAAGTTTTTGGAAAATTATACTTTTTTTTTTTTTTTTTTTACACAAAGTTGTCCCTTTAATAAGATTTCTCACACATGCCATGGGTATATGTGGAATCACAACCCAAAACACATTCTGCTACTTCTCCTGAGTATGGGGATACCACATGCAAGAGACTTTTTGGCAGCCTAGCCATGTACAGGAGCCCAAAATCCAATGACCACCTTCAGGCTTTCAACGGGCACAATTTCCTCATTTCACTTCTTGACTACCTATCACAGTTTGGAGACCCTGGAATGCCAGGATAGTACAAGCACCCCCAAAATGACCCCTTTTTTGGAAAGTAGACACTCCAAGGTGTTTGCTAAGAGGCATGGTGAGTATTTTGCAGATCTCATTTATTGCCACAAGTTTTTGAAAAATGAAGAAAGAAAACAAATGTATCTTTTTATTTTAATTTTTCATAGCATTGTGCCAAAAAAATTAGATCTGCAAAATACTCACCGTGCCTCTTATAAAACGCCTTGGGGTGTCTGCTTTCCAAAAAAGAGGTAATTTAGGGAGTTATTTGTTTGATCTTGGCATTTCAGGGCCTTTGAAAACCTGGAGGTGGTCAATGGATTTTGGGATCCTGTGCGTGGCTAGGCTGACAAAAAGTCTATCACATGTGGTATCCTCATACATGGTAAAAGTAGCAAAATGTGTTTTGGTAATTAATTCCACATATACTCATGGCATATGTTAGAAATAACTCATTAAAGTAAAAAAAAGTGTAATTTTCCAAAGGACAAGTATCAGAATGTGTTTTTAGGTGTAATTCCACATATAGCCATGGGATGTGTGAGAAATATCTAATTAAATTGACAACTTTGTGTGAAAAAAAAAACAACAAAAAAAAGGTTTTTGTCATTTTCCAAAAACTTGTGGAAAAAATATAATCTTCCATGCACTCAACATGCCTCTCAGCAAATACCTTGGGTGCCTACATTCCAAAAGAGGTCATGGGGGGGATGTTTGTATTATCCTGGAATTTCAGGGCCTCCAAAACTGTGATAGGTAGTGTGAAAGCAACATGGGAAAATATGCCCTTTGAAAGCCTGAAGGTGGTCATTGAATCTTGGGAGCTTGTACAAGGCTAAGCTGCCAAAAAGTCTCACACGTGGTATCCTCAAAATCTGCGTAAATTCCAGTATATATATACCATAGTTTGGAGGCAATAAAACTATCACACAAACCAGTTAATATACACTTATTGGGATTTTTTTTTTACCAAAGACATCTAGTAGAATACGTTTTGGCCTAAATATAAGACAAAATTTTAATTTGTTGGATATTTTTTATAACAGAAAGTAGAACGTATTGTTTTTTCTTTTTCAAAATGTTCGGTCTTTTTTCGTTTATATCGCTAAAAAAATAAACAAAACCCAATTGTGATCAAATACTACCAAAATAAATCTCTATTTGTGTGAAAAAATGGCATAAATTTAATTTGGGTACAAACTTGCATAACCAAGCACTACAATTAGTGCAGTGCCGAATAGCAAAAAATGCGCTGGTCTTAAAGTTGGTAAAAACCTCCATAGCTCAAGTGGTTAACTATAGTAGGGAGTGTGTCTGTTTAGAAGGGGTAGGTTTAATTACCCACAGAATGGAGTAATCCCCCATCTGTGGCATACATCACACGCAACAGGTTGGTTTCTTGATTAGGTGACACAGTGGACGGGTGGGCTAACATCACACACAATGGGGAAGTAAGTTCCCAGCCTGTGTGCTGCCTTCCAGAATCAGTTTGAGTTTTGCAAGCGAGATTCGCTCAGATCTGAAGCTGGTCCTGCAATGCAACACACACATATGGGGAAGTTACTTCCCCGCTGTATGTATGATGTAAGCCTGCTCACCCACTGTGTTATCCTTTCACCCTTTACTTATCACTGATATTTTTGGGGGGATAGAAGTAGGTCTTGGAAGCATGCAAAGCCACTTCAGAGTGATCAATGGTATCATTGGTAACCCAGTATTCCATTAGCACAGTGAGAACTTGGGGCTTGGCATTGAGATCCCAGGCAGAACAGCAGTAAAGATTATCTGACAGCAACACGCCCCTGCCTTCCTCCTCCTCCACTAAGTTCTTTCAGTGATTACACTGCTTGCACCATAATCTATGAATGTTGGAGAGAATCCTGTCACTGATTAGACTCTCCCCTATTCATAGACATTGTTATAAGCAATGTAATCAATTAAAGAACTTTGTTTCAATGGAGAAGGCAGGAGGGGGGTAAATCCTGCCAGACCATTTGCAGTGCTGGAAGACCAGAGACAGGAAGAGGACAGGCATCCCTGTAAGCAAGGATTAGTACCCCTTGTAGTAAGGTCCATCCCCTGAGTAAGTATGATAGTTGGAGTTGTTCAGTGCTATATATTCTAGAGCAGGAGTTGCCTGGGGCAAAGGGTGATGACCCCTCGTATACGAATATATAAGTCTGTAGGTTGAAGAAGAGGACTCTTCGGACAGCCATCCTTTGTTTTCTACACTGTAGTGAATTCACTGTTGCTGGACCTGTGGTGACGGAAGTGGTAGGTCTTGTTATAAGAAACTGTAATGTGCAACACTAAAAGAAAATTGTTAAAAGGCTGACGTGTAGACATTACTCATTTTCAGTATTGGGCCTCAGGTCAGGAGTGAGCTAAAATAGCCGAGTCTCTCCCTATTACAGGTGTGTGCGTACCCTATCTCATTCCAGCACATGAAGAAAATAGGAGGTGTCCCTGGGTAGCCTGCTAGGAGCCGGTGATGAATCAGGAATGTTCATACCACTGCAGTGAAGATTTCTCCAGGATCCAGCTGCCTGATAAGTGGGACACATTTCATTGCAGGTAAGTGATTTTTTTTTAACCACTTGCCCTCCAGAGAATTTACCCCCCTTTCTGACCAGGCCATTTTTTGTGTTATGGCACTGTGTTACTTTAACTGGCAATTGAGTGGTCATGCAACGCTGCACCCAAATTAAATTTACGTCCTTTTTTTCCCATGAATTGAGCTTTCTTTCGGTGGTATTTGATTGCCTGTGAGTTTTTTATTTTTTTCGATATAAAAAAAGACCGACAATTTTGCGGAAAAAAAACATTATGTTTTACTTTTTGCTATTAACCAGTTGCCGACCGCAGATAGCCGAATGACGGCTACACTGCGGCCGGCCAGTTCTGGCAAGGCGTCATATGACGTCCTCCCAGAACGCGCTTTCCTGCGCGCCCCCGGCGATCTCCGTGACCGTTGTGTCCTACGGACACAGCTGATCACGTGATGTGGTAAAAGGCCAATCACAGTGGCTTTTTACCATGTGATCAGCCGTGTCCAACGACACGCTGATCACCGGGAAATGAAATTGCCGGTTCTTTGCTGCACTTTCCTCACGCTGTCAGATCGTGAGGAAAGTACTGCTGAGAGCAGGGATCGGCACCGATCATCAGGGCACTGATGATCAGTGCCCTGATGACCGGTGCCCAGCAGTGCCACCCACCAGTTCCGCCCACTTGTGCCCATCATTGCACCCACCTGTGCCCAGCAGTGCCACCCAGCAGTGCCACACACCTGTGCCCAGCAGTGCCACCCAGAAGTGCCCACCAGTGCCCATCAGTGTAGCCCAGCAGTGATGCCAGTCAGTGCCACCAGTCAGTGCCCAGCGGTTGTGCCAGTCAGTGCCCAGCAGTCGTGCCAGTCAATGCCTAACAGTGCTGCCAGTCAATACATAGCAGTGCCGCCAGTCAGTGCCCAGCAGTGATGCCAGTCAGTGCCACCTATCAGTGCTGTCTATCAGTACCCATCATCAGTGCCGCCTATCAGTGTCGCCTATGCGTTCCACCTCATTAGTGCTGCCTATCAGTGCCGCCTATCCGTGACACCTCATTAGTGCTGCCTATCAGTGCCCTTCAGTGCTGCCTATCAGTGACCATCAGTACTGCCTTATCAAGGCACATCAGTGAAGGAGAAAAATTACGTGTTTGCAAAATTTTATAATAGAAACAAAGAAACTTTTTTTTTTTTTTACATTTTTTGCAATTTTTGTTTATAGCGCAAAAAGTAAAACACCCAGCGATGAGTAAATACCACCAAAAGAAAACTCTATTTGTGAAAAAAAATGATAAAAAATGGATACAATCTTGCATAACTGCGCAATTGTCAATCAAAGTGCGACAGTGCTGAAAGCTGAAAATTGGCCTGGTAAAGAAGGGGATATAAGTGCCCGGTAAGCAAGTGGTTAAACATGTCCAGTAAAAAAATTTAACAAATAAAATGTTGACATAAATTTCGGCCAAAATGTATTGTGCTAGATGTCTTTGCTAAAAAAATCCCAATACGTGTAAATTAATTGGTTTACATGAAAGTTATAGTGTTTATAAACGTTGGAATATATACTGGTATTTAACCCTTTGATCACCCCTCATGCTAACCCCTTCCTGCCCTGTGCCAGTAGTACAGTGTTCGTGATTTTTTTTAACACTGATCACTGTATTGATGTCACTGGGGATGTCAATGACACCAAGTCAGCCCCCCCCCCCCCTCCAGTGTCAGAATGTCCGCCTCAGTCCCGCTATAACTCGCTGATCACCGCCATTACTAGTAAAAATTAAAAAACAAAATTCCAGTATCTATACCGCCATTTGTAAACGCTTTAACTTTCACATAAACCAATTAATTTACACGTATTGGGATTTTATTTTAGCAGAATACATTTTGGCCAAAATTTATGATGAAATTTAATTTTTTTAAACTTTTTTACTGGACTTGTCTAATAGCAAAATGTCAAAAATATAGTTTTTTTTCTCAAAATTGTCAGACTTTTTTTTTATACTGCAAAAAATTAAAAACGCACAGGCTGTCAAATACCACCAAAAGAAAGCTCAATTCATGGGGAAAGAAAAGGATGTAAATTAATTTGGGTGCAGCATTTCATGACTGTGCAATTGTCAGTTAAAATAATGCAGCGCTGTAATGCAAAAAATGGCCTGGTCAGGAAGAGGGGTAAATCCTCAGGAGGGCAAGTGTTTAAAAGTCAGCAGCTACAGTTTTTGTAGCTGCTGACTTTTAAGAAACACAAAAACATTTGGAACTTGAAAAGCCACAAAGTGACTTTTCATTCAGCTCTATTGGCTGCAGTGAGGTGCAATGCAGTGGATTGCGTCACAACAAGCTGTGCTGGGGAAAAAAAAAAAACCTATACAGCATACTTTTTTAAGCACACACCCAGCAGTACGGGTGTTTGAACTGCCATGATAAGGAACAAGGCTTTTTGCCTTTGTCTATGTGTTGATAAGGCTGCCAGGCAAAGCTCAATGCCTCTGGTGTGAATGGGGCCCTAAGGAAGAGGTTGACAGCTAACTAGAAGTTTCCAAGAGACAGATCAGCACAAGCAGCCTTCATGTTTCTTCTATACCAAGTTGTACTTGGCTGAACTCTTCACTTGTCTCTAGTTCAAAAAAGAAAAATCATGAAATATCCTGTATGAATAAAGTTTTTTTTTCACTTTTTGCCTATTAGGTTGAATATATCTATACTTCCTATCTAACCTGTTCCCCTGTCGATCAGCTGTATGCAGTCTGAGACCGCTTTTTTTTTTGTGTGAGTGCATTTCACTTTTCCATATTCTTTTTTTTTTTTTTTTTTTTTCTTTCTTTCTTTTTTTTTTTAATAAACATGCTATAATTTAGTGTCCTGTAGCACTGCTGTACATGATGGGCTCAGAGACAGCAGCTTAGCAGCACATGCGTTGGGGCCCTTGGACTTCTTGTTATACCCTTCTTACATTTCATCCCATTTTGATTTTCTTGCCTTTGCTTTTCTAGGATTAAAATGACTGAAAGTTTAGGAATAATTTCCTTTCCAAGGTGTTCTGCTGCCACCTAGTGTGCAGAGCCAGTAAATAGCATCATTAAGGAAAATACAATTCTGAGAGTAAAATGGCATGTAATACATCAAAGGAAAATATTTCATATTATGGTAATCACTAATCTGTGGACAGTCATTAAAAAGCTGAAATAATTTCATTTAAATCCAGAAGAGCCAGGTTTTTCTATGAATGATATATTTTGATTTATTAACTTTTTTGGTGGCTTTTTTCTTACTCTGAATTCTCAGTTTTGATGCACGGGACTTGAAGAGTAATAGTTTAAATACATATTAATGAAATGAGAATTGGAAAAGTTTGGCGACCCATGCAGTTTTTCCCTTAAATTAAGCTACTTACTTTTAAACTGAGGACATTCACAAGACCTGAAGAGCACAGCCCTTACTGAAGTACAGAAATGTTCACGGACAGAACTAATAATGGCAGGGCTGATAAATATTGATTAGAATGTAATCATTATAAATAGCCTGTACTATGAATTATTACACTCAAACAATTTAAAACAAATTGTTAAGTGGGAATCAATAAGGGGTGTAGCTTCAAATGTGAGGGATAATTCATTAGTTCTCTTTTGGCACTGAATCGAAAAGGTGTTTGATTGCTTTCATGAAGAATGTTACTCCAACTCTGTATCACTTGTATAGTCGATTTTTCAATAGTTCAAGCCTGGTATTCATTTCCAATAATGGCTCTGCCATTATATTCCTATTGTGTTAGACTGGGGATAAATCCAATGACTTGACAGGGTCTCACTTGTGCCATTCTCCAGTTGCATAAATTAAAGTAAAGACATAAATGTACAGTAAATCAGTATAAATGAAATGAAGTAGAATGAATAGGGAAGGCTGAACTATGATGCCGGACAATGTGAAGATTGCTATTTTTTTAAAAAATACCAATTTCGTCTGTGAACCAATAACTTAAAAAGTATTTATTCCAATTATGTTCCTTACCTAACAGACCTTTCTTAAAGCTAATAATGTGGTTTTTAAAATTTCTACACTGAATGATCTGTATTTATTATCCCTTTAATCACATACAATTCCCAAACGATTCCAGAATGACATTACCTAAATTCAAGGACTCATTTCCAAAGAATAGAACATCAATCATTTTTTACAAGATCAAACCAGTGACCTTACATCCAGATTGCCTTCATATACCCACTGCCAGGTTATTTAACTGACAATTAGGCATACATGATTTATGTCATTAGTCATCCATAGCTGCCCACCATGCTGCTCTGGTAATGGGATCTATGTCAGTTCAATATACGAGGACCTTAGGTCATGGACCTGCCTGTCTTTATTCTATAATGCAACTTTTACCATAAATAGCATTAATAAGACATGTTGTTGTTGGTTTTTTTTTTTTTTGGGGGGGGGGGTTTGCAGAAGATTGGCAGGAAAACAGCTGAAGTTGTTTTTTTTAAAGCTGAACTCTGGGGACAAAAAATCTTTACCTTTGTCTTGGGTCCCCCTTCCCACTGTAAGGGTTCATGTACACTGAAGCTCCTAAACTGACGTTCAGGAGCTGTTCAGCGGGTTTTTTTCAGCAGCCCTTGAACTCTCCCTAATGTTTTCCTATGTGTCCATGTACACTATGTCGTTTACAGTCGTTTACAGGCAGTTGAGTTTACAGACTTTTTTTGAACTCACCAAATTTGCGTTCAGGAGTAGATTTTACTGGCGTTTCAAATGCCAAATGCTTGTAAACGCGGTTAACCGCATTTATAAGTGTTTGCGTTTAGAAGTGTTTTTTTAACTGTTCCATGTCCAGATGCTGTCCAGAACCTTTTTTCATTATCAGAAATGAATGCAAAGCATTTTCCAAGTATTCAAATGGGTCTAGTACACCAGTGCAGTCAGTTCCAGGTTTCATGTGAAGGACAAAATGGTAGAACGTGTTGCATTATGCTCATATCAGGATCCATAGTGAATACAACCAGAAAAGACAGGTCATCGCAACACATACTGCTCTCTCTGCTTCTGCTCCCTCTATTGCTCTCAAAATGTCTGAAATAGTTAATTTTTTACTATTTTTCAGTGCATTCTGGGCATTTGGGAAGGTCTCGATATGCAAAGGTGGCTAAACTGATGTTTTTTGACCTATGTTTTCCAGCAGTCAGTTTCCATTGTTCAGAAGAGTTTTTCAAATGCCCTGTGTACGTGAGCCCTAGGAGTTTACTTATGATTTTGCAGAATGAATATGGTGATATACTTACCTTAGTTCTTGCTCCTGCAAGTTTCCTCATCTTCATGCCAGACCCAGTTCTCTGATGCCATCCTTGACAATGAAGAACCAGTAGTCCTGCATTGCATGGGAGGATGCCAGGGGCCAACATACATTTGCAGAGTGATAGTGGAAGAGAGTGCAGGCTGGATAGTGGAAGAGAGTGAATAAAGGAAAAGTATGTATATCAGTGAGGAGGAAGACCCACTATAAGGGTAATTTTCCTTTAAGTTTCCTTGGAGTTTTAATACATAAAAAATGCTTTAATACTTTAGAAAACAATACTGATAATCTAGTCCTGAAAATGGAACAGCCAGTTCATTACAATATTCATTGCACTAGCAGCCTTTCTCAGCTAGGATTCCTCCAAAGATTGTTAGGGGTTCCTTAAACAATATGTAGTGGTGGATTGTTATACTGCCCGATGGTGCCTGCGTAAAGTGAAGCTGGGTTTACTTTCTTT